GTAGGAGGACAGGAGAATGCATGGCTGATATGTAAAATTAAGTTAATTATAAAATAAAAATGTATAATAAATAAATAAATAAATAAAAGATAGCAAAAAAGGAAAGAAAAGCAGTTGAATGCTTCAAGTAGTGCTCAATGGGCCATACTAGTAGAAACATGGAAGATGGTGGTGCTGAGGGTGATTGGAACTGTGGGGGCCTGGCTCAAAAGGTTTTGGAGGGGAAGAATTTTAGGATATTGCCAGAGATAGTTCTTGTGATATTTGGGTGTAAATGTTGCTCAGTGTTCCCCCTTGTCCTTAGAGTCTCCCTGAGGTTAAAATGAAGAGATATGGATTAACACAGCTAGCAGATGAAATTTTAAAAACCGCCTAATACTGACTCAGTCATGTGGTTATTAGTGGTCACTTTTACAAATATCTATAATTTAAAAAGATGCAGGTTATAAACGAAAGTGAAAAAATGTACACTTTGAAGGAAAAAGGGGAACCAGGAAATGGAATGAGGGTGAAACCTGTGTTCAAGGAGATAAGCAGATTAGATAAAACAGGGATATTAAATTGATCTTTTTCTGTCTGAGTTTCTGCTTGTTTCTCTATCATTCAAGCATATCAATTCAGCCAGACCACATTCAGAATGATGTAGGTTCCTTATCATGGACATCTCAATACCCAGCCCTAGATATGCTTTGGGTATTTTGTATGAAATTTTCTTGGGGATACATTAATACTGAATGGCTACTTCCCCAAGAAGGCACATCAATGACAGAGACAAAGACATGATTCTATCCAAATCAAGTGGGTGAAACAATGAGTTTTATAAGTGTTCCTTAGAGGGATATGAGCAAACATTTTTAAATATTTTTGAGACAGGGTCTCAGTGTTTTCCTCTGGATGTTCTTGAACTCACTCTGTAGAACAGATGGACCTTGGACTCATGAAACCTGAGGGAAGAATTCCCACAAGTTATACCTGGTTTGACACTGGAGGGTTAGCATCTAGCCTTGATCTGCCTTTTGTGATTGTTACCCTTGTCTCCATACCTTGTGTTTGAAGTTTTATCTGAAAGTTTTCCTAGGGGATCAAAGCCAATGCAAATTTCATAACAAAAATAAAAAAAACTGTAGTAAAACTGAGAATTTGCATTTGGCATTATCCCTCTCAGGGGCTTAGTTCAAAGATTTTGGTATATGGAATGAACTTGCTAAATGTGTGATTTGTAAAACAATAAAGGATCCTTTACTCACCAAGGGTAGTTCAGTCCATAGAAGTGAATCTACCTTACAGTTAGAAAAGGATAAAAATTCATCCTTGATGTGCCTCTGTACAACTTTCCACATGTCTGCCTGAACTCATACCCACACACAATATACAACATATTAACACCCAATGTGGTGTAGCTAGAGTTTTCCTGCCTGTCCCCCAGTCAGGACAAATCTCTGTCACCTGCCAGTCCCACAGCCGCTCAGACCCAAACAAGTAAACACAGAGACTTATATTGCTTACAAACTGTATGGCCATGGCAGGCTTCTTGCTAACTGTTCTTATATCATAAATTAGCCCATTTCTATAAATCTATAACTTGCCACATGGCTCATGGCTTACTGGCATCTTCACATGCTGCTTGTCATGGCAGCAGCTGGCAGTCTCTCCCTCACTCAGCCTTCCACTTCCCAGAATTCTCCTCTCTCCTTGTTCAGCCTATACTTCCTGCCTGGCCACTGGACAATCAGTGTTTTATTTATACAGAACGATATCCACAGCAATGTGGAGCTAAAAGAAAGACACAAGATTCCAGACATCTCTGAGGACTGAAGGAAATCTCTCTCAGGGTAAGAGGGCTCCAGTATTAGCAGGGGTTCATAGGAATCTTCCCTTCTCAGGAACAACAGTATTGCAATTATTAAAATGTCCATTAAAAGGAAAATGAGTGAAAGTGAAGGAAAAACAGCTTACAGAGCTTTTGGTATTAATTAAACAGCACTGCCATTAATTTCAGGCAACATTCCTCATGTTCAGTTATGATTGAAGATATGGAAGAAAGTGTTGAGAGCTCATCAGAAAAAAGAGCCAATACCAAGCTATTTTCATTAATATTGCTCTATATTAGAGCTTGAAGTCAGGGATGGAGATGCCTTCAGAAGTTGATCTATTGTACAGGATTTTTTGAGCTATCCTGGGTTTTTTGTTTTTCCATATGAAGTTGAGTATTCTATTTTAAGGTCCACTTCCTAATTATAACACCTGTAGCACAGACATTGAGAGCAATAATTAATAAATGGAAGCTCCTGAAACTGAGAAGATTCTGTAAGGTTAAGGACTTAGTAAATATGACAAAACAATAGCCTACAGAATATGCAAATTTCTTCACCAACCCCACATCTGAAAGAGGTCTGACATCCAAATACGTAAAGAACACACAAAACTAGACATCACAATACCAAACAATCCAATTAAAAAATGGGCTACCAATCTAGACAGAGAATTGTCATCAAAAGAATCCCAAATAGCTGAAAGACATTTAAGGAATTGTTCAACATCCTCAATCATCAGGGAAATGAAAATCAAAAGGACTCTGAAATACTATAAGTATCATAATGACTAATATCAAACACACTGATGACAGCTTGTGTTGGAGAATATGTGGAGACAAGGGAACACTTCTACACAACTAGTGGGAGTGTAAACTTGCACAGCTACTTTGGAAATCAGTATGGTGACTTCTCAGAAAATTGAGACTCAATCTACCTCAAGACCCAGTGATACCACACTTGGGCATATACCCAAGACATGCTCAATCATACAAGAAGGACACTTGTTCAAATATTTTCATAGCAGCATTATTCATAATAGCCAGAACCTTGGAACAACCTAGATGCCCCTCAAACAAAGAATGAATGAAGAAAATATGGTATATATACAAAGTGGACTATTATTCAGCTGTAAATAAAGAAAGACACCATGAAGTTTGCAGGCAAATGGATAGAACTAGAAATTATCATCCTGAGTGAGGTACCCCAGGTTCACAAAGATAAACATGACATGAACTCACTCATAATTGGATACTAGATGTAAAACAAAAGATAAACAGACAACCATCTGCAATTCCAAAGAAGCTAGCTAACAAGGAGGACTCCATGAGGGATGTATAGATCATCCTGGGAAGGGGAGGAAATGGATGAAATCTACTGAGTAAACTAGGGGTAAGTGGGTCAATAGAGGTTAGGGGATATCTGATGAAAGTATGAGGGAATGTGATGGTTGGCTGGGGGAAGGATGGAGTGGGAGAGGAATGAAAGAGATATCTTGAAATAGGAAGACATTATTGGCTAGGGAAATTTCCAGGAATCCAAAAATATTACCCCAGTTTAGAATCCTAGCAATAATGGAGAGTGTGCCTGAACTGGCCTACCCTGGTTATCAGATTGGTGAATACCCTAACTGTCATCATAGAGCCTTAATTCAGTAACTGATGGGAGCAGATGCAGAGATCCACAGCCAAACACCAGGCCGAGCTCTGGGAGTCCAGTTGAAGAGAGGGCACAGTGATTTTATGACCAAGGTGGCTCAAGATCATGATGGGGAAATCTACAGTGAGAAGTGAATCAAGCTTGTGGAACTCATGAAGTTTAGTTCTACACCTGTAGAGCCTTCATGGGACTGTACTAGGCCCTCAGCATATGGGAGATGGTTATGCAGCTTGGTCTCTTTGAGGGGCCTGGGCAATGGAATCAGGATCTATCCCTGGTGTGTGACCTGGCTCTTGGGGGGGCCATTAACTCTGGTGGATTCCCTCACTGAACCATGATGCAGGGGGGAGGAGCTTGGTCCTGGCTCAACTGAATGTACTCTGCCTACTCCCCATTGGAGGTTTACCCTTTTGAAGAAGGGAATGGAGTGGGTCATCAGGGAAGACTAGAGGAGAGTGAAAAGGAATGAGAGGGGATTCTGTGGTTGTTATGCAAAATGAATTAAAAAATCTTAAATAAAAAAAACAATTTAGGCAAATTGTTTCTTTAGAGTAAAATAAACTTATGTATAGAAAGTCTTATAAAAAGGAGAGAACTACCATTAAAAATTTGGTCTTTATGTAATTTAATTTCGAATGTTCTGTTGCCATTGCAGAGTGAGGAGTCACTTAAAGCTGTATCTAAAGTAGAACTAGGAACTAAAATGGAATTCATACAGGCTGGAAATTGTCAGTCAGATGAAGAGAATGTTCCAGGCAGTAAGTATAGGTGGGGTGAGCAGCCTAGGAGAATGCTGAGGAGAAGGAAAGAGTCAGGAGTCCCAAGCAAGACACAGAGGAAACAAGATGACAAGGCAGAACTGAGAAAAGTTACCAAGCTACATGACTAACATAGATAAGAATTATAGATTAATTTAAGTGTAAAGAGCTAGTCAGTAATAAGCCTGAGCTAATCGTCAAGCAGTTATAAATAACATAAACCTCTGTGTGTTTGGGTCTGAGCAGCTGCAGAACCGGGAGAGACACAGGAAAACTTTCAAATACAATCTCATATGTAGGTATCAGTTTCAGTTTAAAGGTCACTTTGAATCCATCCCTAGGAGAAGAGCTGTCATTAGCCCATGCAGATATTATTCAAAGATATTATCTACATCACCAGTTCTAGTGATTAATCATGAAAATTCCAAACTCAAGCTTTGATTTCCCCTTGGATTCATATCATTTCACTTTATATTTCTATAACTTGACAGTTGACACTGTATCATTAAAAAAGAATATGATTAAATTAGCTGATAATTTTTGGAAGAAGTCCAGTATCAGGCAACTCCAACTGCTCATCATTTTATGAGGATGTTATTTGCTATATGAAAGAATGATAGAGGGCCACAAAAAGAGAAGACCTGGTACAGAAATGAAAGATGGCATTGCAGGAATTGAATTGTGTGCTAATATAATCCAGTAATAATTCATCAGGGTCCCTGGGAGATAAAGAGTAACTTAGGAGACTGATAACCACAGGTATATGAATTTATTGATTTAGGTGTGACCTTACAGATCTCTTCAGGACAGATCATCTCATAATACACAATGTGGCATGTGGTGATGTTTAATAAAGGAAAATATCACATGAGACTGGGGAAATGCAAAATATATACAGAGGTGGGAATGTAAACCTCTTTGGTGACACTAGATGTTACCTTACATCATGGACTTAAAATAGAGGAATGGAAAATCTTCAAAAGTGCACAACAAAGTACAGGGTAAGAGTCTTAATGGGGTGGTAGAAGAGCTGATTACCCCAATATTTAGGTCTTTTCCTGCAACCAAAACACATTATCTTTTCAGATAGTTTATCACAAATAATTCACAAAATTAAGTACTGAATTTTCTCTTAAAAAGCACCTGAGATCCTCAAAATGATTTCCAAGACTTGATCACCAGACTAGGCATACTCTGGTCTCTCCTCTATACTTCTAGGATGAATTCTGGGTCATTCTCTGGCTTCGGCAAGCCTCAAACAGCAAAATCCCAAGAGCTGTGAGGATCAAGGCAGATATACCCATCCGGATGAGGTTCTCCACTGTGTGATCCTGGGAGACTGCAGATTGTGAACAAACAAGTCAGGACAAACCAAAGCCACCACAAAATTTCCACTCTGAACAGCTCCCTCCTCAGTATTCAACTTGATCTTCTCTATCCATGCCAAACCAGAATTTTTCTTACTCACCTATCATGGCTTCTACTGAGAGCCACTGGTAGCAAAATTCCATCAGAGTACACAGCAGTGACAACTTAGAGTTCGGAAGGTCAACCTATCAGAACTAAGGGTTCCGTTAGAGGAAACCATCACACAAGGCGTTATGGAATTACTGCCTATTGAATGAACTGGCTGTCTCTTTCTGTAAACTTCTTGTTCATTAACAGCTATGAGTCTCCCCACTTACCATGCACCTCCATGTAATGTGTACATGTAATCTCACGACTGCATCTCATTCTTGGACAAAACTCTCCCTACACATTGGGGTAATTGGACAACTGTCCCTAGCTGTGCTAATTTTTCATTCACATAAATTTGGCCAGGGCCATTCTCCGGACAAAAGTATATCAGCAAAGATACCTTTTTTCCAAGGACAAACTGCACATAGATAAACATTAGCTCATCTCACTCACAGATAGAGAAAAGAACCGCTAAGAATTAAATCCTCAACCCCTTACCTTCACCCTGGGTTATTTACATAAGACCCTAATTTAAGAGATTTACTGCTCACATTACTGGGATGATGTTTTAGCCATTTGCTAGATATTGAATTAAGGCAGTTACTTCCCACTGACCCAAGGAAATTGCCTACAAGGCCAGACAGGTGATAGGTGTCAAGCTTCCTTCTTGTGCAAATTAAATTTTAACTCCTCCTCAGCCAGGTGCTATTCCTAGATTTTCTCCTCAGCAATTACTCTAAGTGAAAGGGCTTTTACTAACCAAATACTACATGCTCTGACATAGGTTGCTTGGACACCTAACATATGTCCCCCTCCCTATCAGGAAGCAGCTGCAGCTGGGATGAGTGGGAAAAGTGGCACCAAAGATAGTTTATTTCTTGTGACTTATTGACCCCTAACATTCTACTTAGCCATTTCTAGATTATAGTTTGAGCACATAAATTCCCTAATTGTTATTAGCCTTTAGTTGACACTACCAGAGAACTGCCCTTTAGTCACTCCCCATTTGGGTTGTAATTGGAAGCTAACAATTAATTGCTTTATGTGTGGGCCCTTATCACCTCTCTCTGAGACCCTGAAAACTTCAAGCCTCACATCACTTTACCAAAAAATTACTGTGTGGGCATATATACTGGTTCTCTGAGAGCACTGGGAGGATTTATGGAGAAGAACAAAGATGAGGACAGAGATGGAAAGAACTAGGTAGAATGATGAGACAACACCAGGAGGGACTGAGAGGAGGAGGGAAAGAGAGCTAAGTGAGAGAGCAGGAAAGAAACTGTACAGATAAAATCACCATAGAAGAATAAAATGAATGATCTAAAGAACTCAGTGTGCTTAGATTCGTTGAATATTCCTCAGATTAGAGTCCTCAGCTGGTTGGTAGACTCTTCCATGGACCCTGGGAGCAAACAATATAGGCTGGACCTATTGTTGCTTGTGTTAGGCTTCTGTCAAGTTTTGTGGCTGGGTGGTAGTCTCAGTCATTGCTCAAAAGCCAAGGAATGTGGGATATGTGAAGTACTCATTCTTTTGTGCAGTTTTATCTTCTTTCCTGGAAATTTGCATTATTCTCATCACATAACTTCAGGAAGATCTGAAATCAATGATTTCTGTGCTATGACAGGCTTCCTTGTGGTCTTTGGCTTTGTATCTTCAACCTGACTATGCTCTGAATTCAAGACTTGTGGCCATGGCTCTTATTTGTAACACTCCAGAGAAATCAGATGGAAAAACATGGTTTCTCAGTTTAGAATGAAGTAGCCTTACTGTGCTCACAGATCAATCTGAAGTATAGAGTCCTGGATGCTAATTCCCCTAGAGATTTGTTTGGACTGATTCACAGGCTGAGAACACAAGATCCAGCCACAAAGCTGTATTCTCAGTGACCCATGATATCTGGTGCAAAGAGTAATGATGTCAACATGCAGATGATTTCAAATAGATCCATATGTGTCACCACACACAAAACGCAAGTCCAAGTGGATCAAAGACCTCAACATAAATCCAGTTACTCTAAACCTGATAGAAGAGAAAGTAGGAAGTAGTCTGGAATGAATTTGCACAGGAGATCACTTCCTGAATATAACACCAGTAACACAAGCACTGAGAGCAACAATAAATGGGACCTCCTGAAAATGAAATGTAGCTTTTGTAGAGCAAAGGACACGGTCAATAAGACCAAATGACAGCCTACAGAATGGGAAAAGATCTTCACCAACTCCACATCTGACAGAGGGCTGATCTCTAAAATATATAAAGAACTCAAAAAGCTAGACATCAAAATACTGACTGAACAATCCAATTAAAAAATGGGCTACACTTCAACTGAAGAATGGATAAATAAATTGTGGCACATATACACAATGGA